ATACTCCCACACGTCTTAAAGGAGATAAATATATCAGCTCCTGCCTGTTTTGTCTCTTTTCTACTGCAATCTAATTTAGTTTTACTTCTTTTGTTTTTGAGACAAGATCTCACTACATAGCCCAGGCTTGCCTCAAACTCACAATCCTCCTGCCTCAGCCTTGCTAGAGTTGCTGGTATGAGCCACCACGCCTGGCTTCAAATTATACTTTTATACTTCTTGTTTGGAGGTTTCCTGAGATGTCTGGAAATTTGTGGATATCTGCTCAGGTTCAAGACTAAAGCATAAACAAGCCACTTCAGCTTTAGCCCTGTGAGGCAGGACAAGGGACTTAAAGGGATCAAGCTGGATGACACCTGGGAATGACTTGATGCCAGTACTTTTAGATCTTTTCTTTTGGACTGCTAGTGTTCTAGAAAATGCTCCGTCAGTCTTCTACTTGGAGTTGTAAGTAGAGCCAGACATCTTGTTGTAAGAATGTTGTTAAAAAGAATGTAAGAAAAACATTCTTTTTAAAATGTTCATTTATTTTATTTTATGTATATGAGTGCTTTGCCTGCATGTATGAACCATGTGTGTGTGTGTGTGTGTGGTACTCACAAAGCATAGAAGAGGGCATCAGATCCCCTGGAAGGGAGTTACAGGCAGTGTGTCACCACGTGGGTGCTGGGTATCAGGTCCAGGTCCTCTATAAGAACAGCAAGTGCTCTTAACTGCTGGTTCATCTCTCCAGCCTGATGTCTCAGCCTCGAAGAAGGTGGAAGAAAAATGACTGGGCCTCAGCATTCAACATATAAATCCATGTAATTCAACAACTTTACATACATCCCTTCCCACTTCCTTTCCTCTTCCTACCTCCTTCCTGTATTCATTTATTCATTTATTGGAGACAAGTGTAGAGGTGGGTATTTTTGAGACAAGATCTTGCTAAGTAGCTCTGGTACCTGTTATGTACCCCAGGCTCGCTTTGAACCTAGAGCAATCCTCCTGCCTCAGCCTCTCAAGTTCTAGGATTATAGACATGAGCCCCGATTTGTAATTTCTTTCTGTGCCCGACGGGGCCTGGACTCTTCCAAACCAATGGCCTTCTGTTTTCGCCTCTCAGGAAGTCATGCTTCTCCGATCTTCCTTCAAGTGTCATCTCCCAGATCTCTATCTCCTTCTTTTTCAGTTCCTAGTGATCCGCTTTAGAACTCCTACACCATTCCCCTTGTCCCACTGTCTATATTTCATCCCTTAATCACCCCGCAGGGCAATCTAGACGACTCCGGACCGTTAACACATTTTTCTGCTGCGGCCTTTCCGCTCCTCACTTCAACTGACTAAGTTTTGGTTTCCAGTAATCAAGTGTGATCAAGTTTCTAATTCCCAAGACGTCTGGATTTTTCAGAGCATCTAATCACAGCTGTGGGAATGCCCAGGTCTGTCGCCCCTACAAGCTGTTTCTTCAGATATGAATGCATTCTGGGTAACCGGGTGCTTTTTCTCCCACCACATCCAAATGCTGGGCTTCTCTTGGTCGTGAGCTTACTCTTGCATCTGAGGTAGACTCATTGTTAGCCTCAGTGACCTCCTTCAAAGAGGGGAGGTGGCGACATGTAGCTATGATTCCTACAGTGTTTGGCTCAGTTTCTTTTCCAGTCTTCCTTTCAGATGCAACAAACAATTATCTTTTCTTTCAAAGTACGCCCCACTTCCTCCCTTACCAAACCACAAAAGTTATTTTTCAGTTTCTGACTGGCTCTAAGCCACCATTTCCGGACCGTACTTCCTCCTTACTCACACAGAAAACAACTTGCGCTTTAATTTTGTTTTTTTGTTTTCTTCATCTTACGTCGATTCTTTGATTAGCAACTCAGGTTTGGACTTTGTGGTTGGACCTCGACCAATGAGGAACAGTCCAGCTTCCCTTTTACGTCAGCGGTAAAACTGGAAGGACTCCGCATCCCTGTACATGTGCCGCCACGTTTGTGAGTAATCACTCTTGTGCAGAAGTAAGGACGCAGACCAGACACTTTAATTATGGTGGTGGTCTCTTCCTTTGTGACCTCGGAAATACTTCTAACGCTGTGATAAAAGACCCCAACCAAAGCAACTTAGGGGTTCTGGGTTACAGGCCATCATTTCCAGGAAGTCACAGTGGTACAGTTGGTCAAAGTGTGCCCGTAGTCAGGCAGCAGATCACTGAATGCCTGTGCTCTGGAGCTCCCTCTCCTTTTCAGTCCAGGGGCCCAGCTCATGACATGGCGCCACCCACATTCAAGGTGAATTCCCAACAGCAACTAACCCAACCAGGAAAATTCCTCACAGGCATGCCCACAGGCCAACCTAATGTAGACACTCCCTCGCTAAGACTCCCTTCCCAGGCGATTCCAGATTCTGCAAGCTGATTACAGTGGTTGCTGGGCAGAAGAAGCTTGGGAATGCATATAGGCTTGGGGATGCATATAGGCTTCCTGCCGCTGACCTTCAATCATCAGGCTGCCAGCGTTGCCTAGCTTCTCTGAACCAAGTTTACGCCTCTCCCCTGTTCCTGGCCCTGGGCAGACCCTCCATGACTTCCTGTTTGGCCAGAGGTTCCTATTTCGGACCTCCTCTGGCCACCAGCTTGTAAAAGTGGGTGTAGAGAGTTCTTCAAGCTGCTCATCTGTGGGAGCCCGTTCTCGGGTTCCTCGTGGCTTTACCCAGCAGGTCCGCATAGAGGATGATTAGACCACGGGCCTGAGTGCAGGTGTCTGAGATGGTCTGCACTTGGCTGTGCTGGGGGAGGAGGTCTTTTGCTCCACCCCTTGGCGTCTATAAAAACCCTGAGGCAGAGACAGTCGGCCCGTTGGAACAGGTTCCAGGCCCTCTCGAGGCTATCCTTTATTTTCTGTTTATGTCCGCAAGATTCTCCGCATAAATCCTTCTATCTAATATTTCCTGCTGCTCACACTCAAGAAAACTCTGGGGAACTGTGGGGGTGGTTGGGTAAACGCCCCACACTCATCTTTGCAGGAACCCCTTCATCCATAGTCGGCAAACTCGCCGTTTCAGTAAGTAGACGTGAGTGGGGTCGTTTCTTTGGTCCATCACCAGTGCCCTGTTGTGAGAATTATTTTTTCTAAAGCAAAGGTACTTCGCCTGGCAAGAACTCATATTTCCTGAATCTTCTTCACACCAATCAATCTGGTTGGATTGTGAAGTTGAGTTCCCACAAATGGGATGAAACCCAGTCCCCATCTACATCACAGAAAAAAGTGTTGGCCAGGTGTGTTACTAGCCTGGCTTGGACACTTGTGCACCCTTTCTGCAAAAATGATCACCTTGCTGAGATATTTTCATATTCTTTCTGTATATTCTCTTTTGAGACACTCAGATTGTTTTTCGGTTTTTTTGGGTTTTTTTTTTTGTTGTTGTTGTTGTTGTTTTCAAGACAGGGTTTCTCTGTGTAGCTTTGGCACCTGTCCTGGAACTCACTCTGTAGCCCAGGCTGGCCTCAAACTCAGAGATCCGCCTGCCTCTGCCTCCCAAGTGCTGGGATTAAGGGCACGTGCCACCACTGCCTGGCAATTGTTTCTAACATTAACTGTGGTGAAGAGATGAAAAGCCTCACATCGGTTGTCAGTCTGACCCATTTATTTTCTACCTTTTATCAGAGTTCTTGGTTCATGAGGTGTTTCCTACATAGTTTTCTGTGAAGCATATACATTTGTTTAGCTCATTCCCAGCAGTTTATAACTGGGAACAGAAGGGAGCAACCACATGTACCTGGTGGCTTTACGAATGAGTGAAAAGAATCGATTCAGGAACTGGCTCTCTGTAGGGAGTCAGGGAAAAGGGCCCGTGGTATAAACTGCAATTTTATCCCACTTAGGGTGGAGGCTCTAAGCTGAGGGGTGTGTGTGTGTGTGTGTTGCTGGAAATGGAATGCAGAGCCTTGACATGTGACACAGGCATTCTACCACTGAGCTACATCCTAGACATGGTTTCCTTCGGTTATCCGAACATAGTTGTAACAGCTGAATTAAAGTATTTGTCTAGTAAATCTAACACCGGGGCTCTCTCAAGGACTTTCTCCAGTAACCAATGACGCCCTAAACATAAGCCATACTTTCACTTATTTCAAGTTCTCACATATGAAAAAAAATGATCTCCGTAGATAATACAATTTGGTAGCTCTAAAGAATAAAGCACCTCCACCCCAAGGTTTTCTGTTCTTGCTGTTTTCTTGTCCTCGGTGGTGTGTGTTCGTTAGTTCTCCAGCTTTCTTGGGTAAACTCTGTAGAGTCATCACCCCTGTTACATGCCACCAACTGAAGTCTCAGTACAGATAGGTTACTGACCAGCTAATGACTGTGCAGAGATTTTTAAACAATACTCTGACCTAGTAAGTGTCTACACCTTGCCAAGGAACTCTGTCGGGGGCCGAGGCACCTTCAGTCCTGAGGCAGTTTACGGGTATACCTTAGCCTTCACCTCCTTTTTGCACAAGGCCTCAAGATCAGCCAGAATTGGGAGACTGGGGACTCTTCCAGGCCTTTCCTGAGCATGCACAAATCTTGAGATCCATAGAAACACATCAGAGATTTCCAAAAATCCTCTACAAAAATCTTATTTCTCAGAGACTCAAGTTTTTGGTTCCCTAGTCTCAATTTTAACAGTGTAAACTGACTACAATTAACATTTGACAAATGTGCTGGGCATAGGGGTTCCTCCATAGAGAGAACCCCAGGTTGGGGCTTCCTGGCCATTAATACCTGTCAGTGTCAGAGCATCCCGAAGTCCCCAGAACCCAGGCTGGCAGGGGCAAGGTCTGGTTGAGACTCAAAAGCTGAGAGTGTTGACCCAATCCCTGCTGTGTTCAGCAACAGAACCCATGGACCCGGGTGCCCAGATCTCTATGCAGTCCTTACTGTAAGATCAGTGTAGTCAGGGAGGGCAGGACAGCATGTCCCCAAATGCCCTAACCAGTCTGAGTGCCACCTCCTCCCACTGAGCACGGCAAAGGAGACAGTCAATACAAAAACAAACTTTATTTTGATTATCTCACAAATCGACAAGAAAATCACCATGTTCTGTGTCCCTGCTTCTGACGCTTCTGCCAGACACAGACCCGTCCCTTCACGTCCTCAGCTGTAACTTGAGGGCTCAGGCTGCCCCTGCTACACTGGGGGTTTCCCAAAGTGGCCAGAGAGATTTCTCTTTGCCATATCAACCTCTCCCGAACTTCTGGCTGAGGAAAGAGTCACTGAGCCTTCCTCAAGGCTAACAAGGCTTGCTGACCCAAGATCAGGCTTGGTGGCCTGTGACCACGCTCGCTGACCCACGTCTAGACAGAGGTTTCTCCTTTTGCAGGGGCCTGGCTCAGAGCCAGGTCCCGTCTGCCACCCACTCCAGGAAGCCCTCTCTCTCTTCAGGAGCCTTCTCCAGTCTTCGGCGAAGGTACTACAGCCACCTCCTCAATCTGCCATCGGCACATGGGGCACTTGGCCGTGTCTTTGAAGACATGCCAGGCACAGGCGCTGCAGAAGTGTGAGTGGCCGCAGGGCATGAGGCGGGTGTTGGCAGTGTTGTGGAAGCAGATGACACACTCCTCTCCTGATGTGACTGGAAAAGGAGACAGCATGGGTCAGGGGCACACATAGGGTAGGCCACCTACCTGCTCATGGTCTTACCACAGGGCAGGAAAGCTCAGTGTGCCAAGGAACTGTGCCCTGAGAATCCACTCAGTACAATCGAATGAAAACCAACAAAATACACCCAACCCCTTATCTTTGCTGTTGCCTCCCAATTTCAGCTACCTGTGGTCTGAAACTCTCAAATGGAAAGTTCTAGAAAAAAAAAAATCATGAGTACTAAATAATTGTTATTACTGTATGTCGTTACCATTGTTCTATTTTATTATTAGTTACAGACCAAGCAACCAATCAAACAGTAGTGATAAAAATGGGGACAAGGGGATCAGAAGTTCAAGGTCATCTTCAGTTACATATAGTGAGTTTGAGGCCAGCCTGGACTACATGAGACTGTCTCAAAAAAGAAAGAAAATAAGTAGGATGGGTATATAGCCGAGGTGTAGAGTCTTGCCTAATGCGTGAGACTCTATAGCACCTAGAGCAAGCCCTAGGTCTAGGTTTAGTCCCCAGTACAAGGGAGGGGGGAGATCAAACCAAACCCAACTCACATCCATCCCTACACTAATCATAAAGCTTTACCAATAAATAGAATATAAGGAAAGGAAAAAAAAACTTGCTAGATTCACATGGTATATGTGGGTGGGTTTCTTCCCAGTACTTTTTTTTTTTTTTGGGTAGCTGGAGATCCAAGTTTGATTCCCAGCATCTGCATGGCAGCTTTCAACTATCTTTAACTCCAGCTCCAGAGGATCCAGTTCCCTCTTACGACCTCTGAAGGCACCAGGCACATACATGGTATATACAATTTTTCTTTTAATTTTTTTTAAAGAAAATTTGAGAGCCAGGTCCCACGCCTCTAATCCCAGCATTCAGGAGGCAGAGGCCATCAGATCTCTGTGAGTTCCAGGGCAGCCTGGTCTACAGAGCTAGTTAGTTCCAGGACAGCCAAGGCTACACAAAGAAACCCTGTCTCAAAAAAAAACAGAAACAAAAACAAAAATCAAAAAAAAGAAAAAAAAATGAGATTAAACTAGGCTATAATCCCAGCATTTGAAAAAGTGTTTAGAGTAAATGTGAGGCTAGATTAGGTCACATGAGACTGTTCCAGAGAAGGGGGGTGTCTGCTCGTGAATACACTCTCCTAATTGGGAATGATCTAAAAGGCAGAAACATCACATTGTTTCTGGATCTCTAGCGGGCAGTGAACCGTGGAGGCCTCTCTCTGGTACCTAGAAAGATGGCTTTGAACAGCCTGACTTCCCAGCCACCTCCCTAGGTGCCAGAATGCTGGGAAGTCCGCTCACCTTCAGACTCTGGCACTGCCTCCCCGTTGATGATCCAGGCGTCAGCTTTGGGATCTAAGGCAGAAAAGGAGGTTCAGGACCAGCCCAGCAGCTCCAGGCGCACGCACGCACGCACGCACGCACGCACGCGCACACACACACACACACACACACACACGCAGTCCCTTCAGCAGCCACTGCCTTCCTCACTGCTGGTCTCAGCTGAGAGCTCTCACATCTTTGCTGGGTTTTTTTGTTTTGTTTTGTTTGTTTTTTGTTTTCTTGCTTTTCACCTGTGTATGGGTGAACTTCTGCTTAAGCAGCAAGGCCCCGTCTAAATGCTTTCTCCTTTGTGAAACGCGACCAGCCTTCTAACATTATTTAGGGCACTGGTCTTAAATCTTATCATCCTTTAGGACAAGGCTAAGCCTTTTGCCCATTTCAAGTCTCCGATGCCCATCCTTACACTGGGCCATGGACTGATAGCATTCTGAACTTGAAGGAATAAACAGTTCTACCAGGGCCTCTAGACTGGTGCGTGAAGCCACCTGGAATTCTGCCTCCATGCCACACACTCCAGAATCACAGTGTTCGGGGACCCCAAGGATTGCCTCACCCAGCAGCTCGATGGCTTTTGTAGTCCCGTACACATCCATCACCGCCCAGAGCGGGGCGCCCTGGACCAGCACGTCTTTGCGCAGCAAGAGGGGGCGGCCAGCGTTGACCTTGGCGAAGAGCCAGCCTCGACGGTTCACCCAGAAGCAGACCACATTCCCCGCACGAACGAAGCCCTCTGGAAGCAACGCTGCCCACGTGGGGCTCTGCTCCTCTAGGTCGGGGCACACGAAGGGTGGCAGGCAGGACGGGGCCACGTGCGCAGGGTCCAGGCGCGTGAAGCCCACGCGGAGGCCACCGCACCAGCCGTCCTCATGTCTCAGCACGCGCAGCGCTACACGCTCACCGGGCCACACTGGTCGCTGGCTGAACACGATGCCATCGTGGAACGTGGAGCGCCTACGCGCTGTGCTCCGCAGGTCATCCAGATGCACCTGCGCGCCGGTGGCATCCCCATGGAAACTAAGAGCCTCGCGGGGCACCTCAGCGTCTGTGGGGCAGAGCGAGTAGCCTGTCAGTGAGGGCCCATCCTAACCCACCAGTTCCCCCAGAAAACGACCAGCACCCTAGGCTACCCTGGCCTCCTCCTGGGGGCCACTTTGACTGCCCAAAGTTCCCTGGCACCACCTCCACTCCCCAAACCACCTCAAGCCTCAACCCACACGCACCAAGCCAGCCCACTCTACCTGCCCCGTCTGTTAACCTCCCCCCCCCCCCAGTCTCAGTCGCCCCTTCTGCCTGGAATGAAAATTAAAAGAACCTGTGTCTAAGTCCTGTCTAAACAGCCCTGAGCCATGGGTATTACTGGGATTGAATAGAAAAAGCAGCTTGCTTGGTGTGTTGGTGCTCTAATTCCAGCGCTGTGGAGGTGAAGGCAAGTTCCAGGCTTGCTTGGTCTAGTAAGTGGTTCCAGGCCAGGCCAGCCTGGGCTACGTAGACAGGGAACTGTTGTTAAACAAAATGAAACCAAACACTTAAGCATATGAACTTAGATGAGGTTTATTGGTTTTTGTTGTTGTTGTTGTTGTTTGGTTGGTTGGTTTTTGGTTTTGCAAGACAGGTTTCTCTGTATAGTCCTGGCTGCCCTGGAAGTCGCTCTGTAGACCAGGCTGGCCTCAAACTCACAGAGATCCACCTGCCTCTGCCTCCCGAATGCTGGCATTAAAGGCGTGCACCACCACTGCCTGGTTGAGGTTTATTGTTTTTATTTTTTAACACTTACTTCTTCATTGGGTGCAGGAGTACCAGGATGCATGGGTGGAAGTCAGAGGACAACCTGCAGAAGTCAGTTCTCTCCTTTACCTCGTAGGTTCGGGGGATTGAACTAAAGTCGTTCAGCTTGTCAGCAAGCACCTTTGCTGGCTGAGGCATCTCACCAGCCCCTAGATGAGATGCAATGCTCAAGGATTTTCAAATACCTAGCCTGGAGGAGCAGAGCTCGCTTGCTAACTTATGCATGCCCTCACCAGTGGCCCACGATGGCCATGCCTTCCTCTCTGCTTCTCTAACCTCCTTTTCCCACAGGTGAGCTGCATCAGCCCCACCCCACCCACCCCACCCCCAAAGTGACTTCCTGGTCCTGGGAGAGGGGAACCCAGCAGTTTCCCACAAGACAGGGGTACAAGTTGAGAAGGGTCTGTGGAGATGCCTCTGTTCAGCCAAGGTCTGAAGTGGGCTTTGGAACCAAGGGACTTCTCGCACAAAGGCACTTGGCGGCCAGGAGGGAAAGTTTCCTGCAGGGCAAACCTTCTTCTCAGCCCTGGCTCCAAGACAGCAGGGGTTGATCTGCTCACAGAGACCTGCCTTTCCTCTCTAAGTGGGGGAGAGGAGAGGAAGCCAGCTGACTGCTGGCTAAAAAAGAAAGATGAACTCAGTCTGAACTTGAGCCAGGCCCCGGAGAGAGCCCATCCCCCATCAGCTGGCTGTCTCCTGTTCCTCTTGCAGACCAGGGGCCTGCTTGTGGGAGCCTGATATAGGACTGAGGACTCCTGGGGCTACCACCAGGGCCCACCCCATCACTCAGCTGAGTCACAGCCACCACTGAAGTGAAGGACTCAGGAGAAGCCCAGGGGTAGGCTTGGTAAGGGACCTGAGCAATAGTCTGGACAAGAGTGGATGTTGGAGACAGTCACCTGCGACCCTGCTGCCGGAAGAAGCAAGGTGTGCTCTCCTGAGAGCCACAAGCTACAACTCTGGTCCACCACAAGAGCAGAAATAGAGCCAAGTTGGAGCCCCAGCCTCAACCACTACAGCCTCAGTGGAAAGGGTTCACATCCCCTTTGGGTCTGAGAACTTTGGACTGCTCATCTCAAAATGGTGGCCTGGCCAGTCCTCATCTGGCCACGTCCCATTCCCAGGAGGATAGAGGACTGGAAGGACTGTTCTGGGAGAGAGAGAAGGTCAGTTCACTGCCCCATCTACTTCCTAGAGGAGAAAACGGAGTCTGGCTGGTGGGGGGGTCAGTTCAGGAGGAAGGGGACTGCCCTAGGAATGGCCTCTGAGGGACGCAAGAGTCCCTTGGCACCCCAGGAAAAGAAAGCCTTGGTCCGGGTGGCAGCTTGAGTGGGCAAAGCTCCATCACCACTCCCAGCCTACAAGAGCTATGTTCTCATGTCCTGTGTTACAGGGGGAAGCTGAGGGGACAGAGCTGCCTCCATGGGTCCCTAGGTGACCAGAGCCCTTGAACCACCTTCTCTCAACTGCATGCTCAGGCCTCGTATCCCTACCTTCGGTAGCCTCTGGGTAACTCCCTGAGTGTGACTATCAGGAGGTGTCACCACAGGCAAGGAACAAGGGGCCTCTTGAGGCTTGGTCTCTCTATACTCTCTCTCTCTCTCTCTCTCTCTCTCTCTCTCTCTCTCTCTCTCTCTGATGGCTCGTGTTGGTTAATCACGGCCCACGGCCCAGGTTGAGCAGGGCTGAAAGCTACCCTAGCCCATTGAGTCTATAAAAGGCCTTCAGGACTTTGTCCCCGACAGGGGCTCCACCCTTTCCTTTACAATGAGCTCTGCTTCCTGACTTTAGAGCTGGGTCACCGTGGCACTAAAGGGGTAGACGCCATCTCCATTCTGCCTTGCCCCTTCCACAGAGCCTTGCAGGAATCCTCCCACCCTTGGACTAAGCAACCCGACAGATCGCACTGCTGGGTTGGGTGAGTGGCAGAGGTGGGCACAAGCTAAACACGGCTCTCTAATTAGCTCTGTCCCAGTTGGCAGGGTTGGCACAGGGTTCAGAGCACTCTCTACCAAGAGGTTACCATTCCTGTTCTGGGCCCCATGTTCAGGTCAGACCCTGAGGCTTCATGGAACAGAGTAAGAGGAGGACCCTCTTCAGTGACCCCACTTTTGTGTCCCCCACTGCTGTAGGGAAGGGGCTTTGCTGGCCTGGACCCAGACTGCTAGGAAGTTCGGGACACACAAGTCATGTCCTTAGGGGTCATCTCCAGCCCTGGGCAGATGAAGGCAAATTATAGTCTCTGCAGGCAAGGCTCCGGGAATTTTAGGAATGGATCGTCATCTGCCTGCTCCGTGATGGTGATGAAGATGATGGTCAGCATCTTCATCACCACCCCTCCAGCCACCAAGGCTTTTGGGGTGCCAGGCACCCACTCAGCCCTTTGCAGCCTCTGGTCCTTCTCTCTGCATCCTATATAGAAACACTCAGAGATTGTGTGGGGCTGGGGGGAGTCTCAGGAAAGGTCCCTTCTAGTCCTCCCAGCCCCAAGGAGACCGTGGGCTCAGCTATACACACACACACACACACACACACACACACACACACACACACACACACACACACACACCTGCACCTGTTATACTACATAGCTTTTGGCGTTACTGCCCTGCCTTGAATTCAAACACAGCTGCCCCAGCAGAGGTGGCTCCGGGTGGGGCTGTCCACTGTGAGTGAGCCTTGGATGCTTGCCATGGAGCCTAAGCAGGGGTTCTGCTCTGCCTGCGAGGCATCTCCAGGGTGCCTGGTCCCAGTCTCTGTGCTAAGACCTGGAATGCTATCTCCTGCCCACTCACCCAGGTCCTTCCACTGAGGGGCAACGTGACCACAGGTACAAGTAAGTGTCTCAGAGAAACTTCCTATCTCGTTACCATTTAGACCTCTGTATTTGGAGCCCTGAAGGCCATCAGGGCGGGTGGCATTGTCCCCAACCTTCAGATGAGAAAAACCAAGGGCACAGGGACAGAATGACTTGCCCCTGGTGCCATCTCTAATTTGGCAAAGCTGAAATCCCTCCTTTTCTACCGGGCCTCCGAAGCTCTCTCTACCCTTCTATCCACCTCAGTCCTGTTTCTCTCTTTGTGTCCGGTTCCTAGATGTACACTGCTTAGAGACAGCGGGTGGGGGAGGAGGGATGTTTATCTCTGCAGCCATCTTGGGTCTGAGTCACCCAACCTCCGCTGGATTCCCGGGAAGACCGGAAGCTCACTCCCTCGTGCAGATCTGGTCAGAAACCCACTCGAGGTGACGATGGCTCAGGGTCTCCCTTGTCCCCCTTCCAGACCTCTCCCACCTGTACTCCCTTGCAGTCTAGACTCCAGAAGTGAACTCAAGGCATACAGGAAGTCTACTTACTGGCCTCAGGACTGAGGCGGGCACCCATTAGCCTGGGCTCCTCCTGGGACACAAGTCCTTGGTTCTGGAGATGTCTGTGAAGGCCAGTGGTCAGGTTTATGAGACTCTGAAGGTTCCCTTTTTATAGGCTAGAGATCACGTTACAGGGTTGATGATTAATTAGATGCTGTCACGCATGACGATATCCGGGACTTTCCCCACGATGTCTCGTGGCTCACAGTAGACCTGCTGCAGCAAGCCGGCCTGAGAAAAGGAAACAGGGACTGTGACTGTGGCTCCAGCATAGGGTTCCTTCTCTCTGACTTCTAATCAGCCCTTGTCTGTGAATTACAACCACCCACAGCATGTTAGTAAACACCTGTGCCCACCCCTAACCCCCTGCAAAGACTCTGGTGCCCCTGGCCTGGGGGGAGACCTGGGCATCGGAAATTTCAAAGAGCATGCAGGAACTCCAGGATGCAGCCAGCATGGCTCACCATGGCAACCCCACATACAGAAGGTGCACAGCACTGCTGAAGTAGGTTAAACTGAATGAGCTAAATCCTGGGACCTGTGCAGTTGAGCCTGCCTGGTGGCGAGGCTGGTTTGGAGGTTTACAGATACTCTGCATCCCCCCCCACCCACACACACACATACACACATATCACCAGCTTGAGTCTCTCCTGAGACTCCAGATCAAGGCCACCGTCAGTGACTTCTTTGGACGCTTACAGAAATGAATAGTGCCGGGAGGTGGTGGCACACACCTTTAATCCCAGGACTTGGGAGGCAGAAGCAGGTAGATCACTATGAGTTCAAGGCCAGCCTGGTCTACAGAGCGAGTTCCAGGAGAGCCAGGGCTACACAGAGAAACCCTGTCTCCACTGAGGAGAGACGTGGAGACCCAGGTTGTGCCCACTGTGTTACCTTATTCAGATCCTTTCGTCTTCTTTAGCTCCGGGATACCCAAGTTATAAAATGGGAAACAGGAGGTACTGGTCTGAGGACCTCTTCCAGCCAGCAGCTGTGCCGAAGTGAGAAGTGGTGAGAAGATGGGTGACATCGGTAGCCCCGGATACCTCACACTTTGCTGTAACCTCTGGACTTCTCTTTTCCTGACACACCCTTGCTGAGTGCCCTTTGTCTCCACACTAGATGTATTTCTTCTGCCGAGGCCAGATGTAACTGCTCAAGAGTAAGTCCCAATCCCTTGAGCCGGAGGCCAGCGGATCCTAAAGGTTGCAGTTGGTCCAATGCCCTGGCTGGCCCAGTCCGAGAGGCTCAGGCTCCTGGCACCTCCTGGAAGGCACACCAGTCTCTGGGTAGTGCTGGCTGCTCTTCCTTTGCTGGGTCTTACCTGTGGCATTGGCTGCCTTGAGTGGCTGCCCAGGGCTGGAGCCAAGAGTTCCTTCCTGATAAACCACATTCCCCTACCAGAAGTACGTGCGGCATCTTATCAAAGTGCCCGCTCTGGGACTTTAGCCTTTATAGAAAATTACAGGGTTGGTTGTACACCAGCAGGCAGGTGGTGTGGCCCCATGGGCAGGACCTGTAGCCTGCTCAGGCCGGCAGCCAGCAGGTGGAAAGGCAGGCTAGTTCAGACACCCACGTCCAAGTGAATTTAGCTACTACACTAATGGGGTTCAGGACATCCATTCTAAACATTTGGGAAGTAGCAGGAAGGCCCCTCTCTTTTACTCCACCTTTCTCCCATGAAGCCAGCCCTGAGCCCCTCACTCTATGTTTACCGCTGACATCAGGACAGGGGAGAACCTGAACAGATTGTTCTTGCTAGGCCCCGCCCAGCTTATCACCATTTGTGAACACACACCCACCTTTGCCCCAGTGTTCTTCACTATAATAGTATTTACGGTCACTCTTGGGCTCAAGTGCAAACCAGCATGCAAACACACAGACTTCCCCCTTCTTTGGGTCTTTCTGATTTGAAACTAGGCTCCATACAGCCTCACCTTGAACTCACGACATAGTTGAGGATAACCTTAAACTCCCAATCCTCCTGCCTCCACTCTCCAATGCTGGGGATCTAAACTGGGGCTTGGAGGCTGGTGAGATGGCTTTCTGGGTGAAGACACATGCCTGACCACCCAGGTTCAATCCCAGGGACCCACATGGCGGAGGGAGAGAACAGACTGTCGAAAGTCGTCCCTCTGACCTTCACACATGTTCACGGCATGTACATATCCATACCCGCGAAAACAAATTCATTTAATTAAACAAAAATCACACACACACACACCAGGGCTTCATGCCTGTTGAGCAAAGTCACCCTACCAATTTACCTACATTCCCAGTCCTGTGTCTTCATTTTTCTTCTTTTGAAATACTATTTTATTTAGTCTTTGACAATTTCATACATGTATATAGTATAATTTTTTCAATGTTTCTTTTGTTTTGGTTTGTTTTTTGTTTTTCAAGACAGGGTTTCTCTGTGTAACTTTGGAACCTGTCTTGGAACTCGATCTGTAGACCAGCTCGCCTCAGACTCACAAGATCAGCCTGCCTCTGCCTCTCAAGTCCTGGGATTAAAGGCATGTGCCACCACCACTCGGCTATTTTTCAACCTTAAATTTTATTTTTATTATGTATATTGTATGTGTCTGTATGTACATTCACCTAAATGTGGGTGTCCTCGGAGGCCAGAAGATTTGGATCCACTTGGAGCTAAACTTACAGGTAGTTGTAAGATAACTCAGGTCCTCTGGAGAATCAATAAGCCTATGTATGATGTATTTTGATTATAATCACCCCATCTCTCTCTTGTCCCCTCCTACCCTATCTGGACCCTTTCTTCTTCCCAACGAGTCCCTCTCCAACTTTTTTTTTTTTTTTTTTTTTTTCGAGACAGGGTTTCTCTGTGTAGCTTTGCTCCTTTCCTGGAACTCACTTGGTAGCCCAGGCTGGCCTCGAACTCACAGAGATCCGCCTGCCTCTGCCTCCCGAGTGCTGGGATTAAAGGCATGTGCCACCACCGCCCCGGCCAACTTTTTTTTTTTTAATGACCCACTGAATTTAATTAAGCTTGCCAGCAGACATATGCATGGGTGTGGGTTACTGAATGGATCGAAGGCAATTTTCTGGTGGTTACACCCTGAACAAAGATGACTCCCCCTCCCTCAGTAATTACCAAGAACCCCTCAACTTGAGGTGGATCCTTGTATGCCCCTCCCCCATCTGGGTTTCTATTTCTGGAAGGCTCCAGGTACCATAAAACTTTACATCCATACTAAATGCTTGTGCTTTACCACAGAGGCGCCTGAGAACTCTTCACACCAGCCAAGTTGTGCAGTCAAGCCGAGGCGCCCATCAAGAGATGAGGGAAATGTGAGTCTGTGCAATGCAGTTTTCTTCAGCCGTAAAGAATGGAGTTCTGTCATTTGCAGGGAAAGGGCCAGAACTGGAGATCGCGTTAAGTGAAACAAGCCAGGCTCAGAAAGACAGACGTCATCAGTTTCCTCTCCTACAAAGAAAGCAAAATTTAAAAAGTACGGTGCATACTGCTAGGAGCTGTAGCTCGGTGATACAGTGCGTGCCCGGCATGCCTGAGGTCCTGGGTTCGATCCCTGGGATGGCAAAGGAAGGAAGGAAGACTTGAAAGTACAAGGGGCCCTTTGTGGGTGGAGCTTTGTCGACTGGAGACAGACTTCACTCCTTCTCCCAGGCTGGTTTGGAATTCACAGCCAGCTTCCTGCCTCGGTCTCCAAAGTTCTGGGGTCATAGGTGTGAGGCACCATGCTCAGCTGGAAGGAACTCTTTGGGAAGAGGCAGGGGATGGCAGTGGGAGTTAAATATGATCAAAGATGTTACAAATGTGTGTGAAAACGGCATGATGACATCATTGTTTTGTTCAGTGAATACATGCTAATAAGAAAGGCAGGTTCCTCCTCTTGTTAAGTGTGTCTTACCTAGCGAGGGTCTAGCCATAAATAACCCTTATGAAGGGAAGGACAGAGAATACTCTCCTAGACATTGCTGTTGTAAGTCCAATACTGTACTAGCCTGACAGTCCTTGTGGGGAAGTCCTCAGAAAGGGTCCATCTAGAACCACTTCCATTTCACAGAAGGGGAAACTGAGGCACAAGGAGCGTACACAGTTCCTGGAAGATTGCTCAGTGGGTAAAGGTGCTTGCTTGCCACATGACCCTAGCAACCTGAGCTCAATCTCCAGAACCCACACAAAGGTAGAAGGAGAAGATCAAGTCCAAAAGTTGTCCTCTGACCTACACACCCATACACATACATTGTGTGTGCACACTCAAACTGATTTTTTTTTAAAGTGAGTTCAAAGTCATCCTTGGACACATAGCAAGTTTGAGGTCAGCTTGGGCTACGTCAGACCCTGTCCAAAAAAAAAAAAAAAAAAGCGTCTGCCCTCACTGCCATGTAGCTATGCCCTCTTTCGTGGTTCCTTACTGGCTCTGTCAGTATTTAGCTGACTGGGCTGACACATAGTAGGAGTCTTACAAATAGCAGCTGATAGGCCACCTGAGTGCCCGCTAGAGGCCTCCCATGGTGTCCTATGTGCCACCATCCCAGCAAAGCCGTGCCTGGGAAGGCGTGCTCCCAGGACAGGACAGGCTCTGTACTCCAGGGTAACACTGGCCGTCTTAAAGAACTGCGGCAGTGACTGGGGCGGCCTCTGCTGGCTAGAGTCAGTATTGCAGGAGGCATCGAGGTCCTGTGAGCCTACAACCCTGGAACAGGGCCAGCAATTGCCAGAGCACCTTCTGAGACCTCCAAACCTCTTCTAGTCATCCTAAAGCTCCCCAACACTCCCCGTACCCAGAGCCAGCTTGTCACCTCATGGGGCCTCCTGGTGGCAGTCAGCCCTCAACTTGTCCAGCCCCGATCATGACAAAGGGCTCTTGTGTAGACCACCTCAGAGATGCCTCCTTCTCTGAGAAGGAGCTGGAGTGGTGAGCAAGCTGCAGATACGTGGGGGCCCAGGCCAGCCTGTGGTCCAGCAGAGGTAGGAGCCCTGCCTGAACTGGGACACTGGTGGGCAGCCCAGCTCCATCGGGCCCAGCCATCAGCATCCTAGGATCCCTGCATTATCACATAAGATGGTAGGGGTCTGCAATGCCAGAATGCTAGCTCCGTGAACAACCAAGGCCATAAACACAGAAGTGGCTAACAAGGATTTGCCAGCGGCAAACAGGGAGGTATAAAAGCCTCTTTGCCTATCTGGTGACCTGCCAAGAGATTGGGAGAGTAAAGGTGTTTGTGACCATGCTTGATGACTTGAATCCAATCCCGGAACTCACACGGTAGAAGAAGAGAACCATCTCTCACAAGTTATCCTCTGAATGCCACATGTGCACTGTAGCAACACACACACACACACACACACACACACACACACACACACACACACACACACGTAAAAGTTGCCCATCTGCAGCCTTGGCATGGTGGTGCATGCCTACAATCCTAGATAAAGGCAGGAGAATCATGAATTCAAGGCCAGCCTGGCCGTGTCTCAAAAAGGAGGAGGAATTTCACCTTCAGAGAATACATACAAACTTGTCATTGTTCCCTAAACAATAGAGTCTAACAACTATTTGCATGACATTTCCATAGCACTGGGTGTTCCAAAGCACTCCCAGATGGTTTGAAGTTTACCTTTCTCTGGATACATGTGTAGGTTGAACATTGACATACATAGGTTAAATTTAAGAACTAGGGCTAGGAGTGTGGCTCCTCCATTGGGGAAGCGCTTGCCTAGCATGCACAAAGCCCTGGGTTCTATCCCTAGCAACGTGGAAACCAGACGTGGTGGTATGTACCTGTGAACCCAGTCCTCAGGAAGTGGACACAGGAGGCTGTGTCCAAGGGCATCCTGAGCTACATACCAAGTCTGAGGCCAGCCTGGGCTACAGAAGATTTTGTTTCAAAAAGAAAAATAAGCTGTAAGTGATGCTCATTGTTGAACATCCATGGTTTTGGCATCCACATGGGTCCTAGAACTAGTCTCCATGGCAACCAAGGGATCACTGTACTATTATACAAAACACTATCACCTCAAGACTGTGAGGTAGATGTCAGGAAAGATCCAGAATATTCACACACACACACACACACACACACACACACACACACACACACACACACACACATACACACTTCTATTCACACAAAGTTTAGGTACCACCACTCTGATGCAAAAGTCAGGAGTGGGCGTCTCTAGACGTGTAGGAATGAAGAAATACCTCCAAGAACTGGGGTGGCTGTTATATAGTTGTGTGCACAGACAGACAGTGCCATCACTTGGATCCCCGAAGGGCACATAATCTAAATCTGCCTTGGTTTACGCCCCTTCCGTCCTGAAACTTCTGAAGGAGCGCAGGGAGGCACGCGAATGGCTTGGTCAGCACTGCCCCCTGGTGGAAACGAGAGGGACTGTGGGAAAAGATCCTGTCACCAAGGCTCCAAAGGTTCCCAGGCAACTCAGCTTGTCCCATGAGCATTCTAACAACACTGGGGGTCCACTGAGTCCTCCAAGTCAATAGCAAAAGCCCCCAGGCGTGTGTCAGTCAGCTGTTACTGGCAGTAGGGGCCAGGAGGGGTAGGCCAAAGCATGCTGACAAAGTAGCCAGTCACAGGGCTGGAAAATAGCTCAGCAGTGTGGAGCACTTACTGCTCTTGGAGAGGACCCGGGTTAGGTTCTCAGCACCCCTATGGCGGCTCACTACCGTCTGTAACTCCATTTCCAGGAGATCCAACACCCTCTTATGGCCTCCCTGGGTACCAAGCATGTTCACAGTACACAGACATGCGTGCAGCCAAAACATTCATATGTGTAAAATTTAAAAATTAATCCTTCTTTTAAAAAGTAACCAACTCCTAGTGAGGCCATGCAGCTGCCCCCCTTCCTAATACCCCAGTGAGAGAGAGAGAGAGAGAGAGAGAGAGAGAGAGAGAGAGAGAGAGAGAGAGAGTTTATTAGTCACCTACTGTGTGCCAAGCATTGTCCTAATTCTGAGTAACCAGAGATTAAGGAAAACCCAGTTATTGTCCATTGCCCACTCAGGTAAGCCTTGGCATTTAGGTAAGTACTACAAAATGGTCAAGCTGAGTGCCATGAGGGTTGTTATGTCCAGGGTGGTGGGGTGGTTTGAATGAGAGTGGCCCCCAGAAGCTCTTACATTTGAATGCTTGGTCCCTAGTTGGTGAAACTGTTTTGGGAAGGATTAGGAGGTGTGGCCTCATTGGAGAAAGTGTTCCCCTGCTGAAGGAGGCGTGTCATTGGGGGTGGGCTTAAAGATTTAAAATCCCCTATCATTCCTGTTACATCTCTTTCTCTCCTTCTGCCTCTGATTTGTGGATAAGATGTAAGCTCTCAGCTACTGCTCCGGCACCATGCCTGCCTGCTGCCACGCTCCCCAATACGATGGTCATACACCGACCCTCCAAAGCTAAGTGACTAAGTGACGCTGAACTGGATTTCCTTCTTGCCTCTCTTGGATCGGTTCTCTGCCAGCCTTAGCATTTGCAGAGACCCCCACAAGGAGTTCAACATCGTCCCTGGCTACACAGTGAGTTTGAGGCTAGTCCTAAGCTACATAAGACCCTGTCTCAAAAATGGAAAAAACAAAACATTTTTTAAGTTAAAAAAAATTAGGAAGGCTGGTCACAGTATATACTTGAAATTCTCAAACAGTAGACTTAAGCAACAGGATGGTGAGTTTAAGGCCAGCCTGGGCTACATAGAAAGACCTACCTCAAAAAACAAAGACAAAAAAGTAAGAGAAAAAGGATGCTTGCCGACAAAAACAAGGTCTGAAAGGTCTCCATACCCCAGGTTTCTCCGCCAATGCTATAAATCAGATTAGGCCAAATTAAACGTCCAGGTTTAATGAGCAAAGCACCCCTGGGTGATTCTCAGGGTGGGGGGAAAGCAGGAGAGAAATCACGTGGCAAGTCTAGGGGGACCGGGTCTTAAATACCCTGTAGGTGTGGTCTTGAGCATCTCCAGGGGAGGAGCCAACTCTTGGTGGGCTTTCTGGGGGGTGGGATCTGGAATGGGAGGAGTGGGCCACAGTGGAGCTTCCCAACAGGTTTATCATTCAAGATTCTCAATAAAAGAATTCCTATGGCTTATGGTGCCGATAAGAAGGATCTTTTCCTGTCACAAAATCACCTCAAAGTTAATCAAGTAAAAGATTTTTTTTTATTTAAATGAATTAAATGTATTCTTGTTACTTTTATTATTATTATTTGGTGTTTTTTTTTTCTGAGACAGGTCTTACGTAGCCCAGGCTGGCCCTCAAACTTGCTGTGTAGCTGAAAACAACTTTGAACTCCTATAATCCTGCCTAAGCCTCCCAAGTGCTGGGATTACAGGCGTGCACCACCATACCTGGTTTGATCACTTCTGAGATAGGTTTCTCTATGTCGCTCAGACTCCCTGGGAACTCATTATGTGACCCCAGGCTAGCCTCCAACTCTTATTCTCCTGCTTCAGCCTCCCAAGTGCTGGGATTACATCATGCCTGCCTTTCAACCATCTTATGGTAGTCTTAGATTCTGTGGGTCAGGAAGTCTCACAAGGTATGGCGGGACTTTGTTTTCTGATGTTCGGGGCCTCTGCTGCAGAGTCTTGAGTTTCTGGGGTCTCAAAGCACATGGAGGCTTCTTCAACCACATGTCTAGCACCTGAACTTGGATCTGAAAGACCATGCTGAACGGAGACTGTTGACAAATGGCCTATGCATGGGAGTGTCCAAAGCAAGAGTTCTAAGAAATCAGGGACAGCCACACAGCCTCAAAAATGACACAGTGCCCCTTCCACCACATCCGCTGACTCAAACGAGTCACCATGGTTAGCCTAGATGC